GTGACTGCAAGGATTCATACTCTTTGGGGTTTTTCGGTAAAGTCACGTAGGTAAAAAATTAAAATAAATTTAACCACGACATTTCGGGCACAACACAAGCGTATATCTTCAGGTGGGGACAACGTAGCGAAAGAAAACCGCTGAAGTGTATCTCAGAGGAGGCTGTGAAGAATAATTATATAGTCGCGGGGGGATGGGGGGAGGGGGCATGGTGAGTGTGGGGGCGGGGTGTGGGCTGGGAGGTAGCGTTGTGTACCCCGAGCAACGATTGGAGTTCAAACTTAGGCTTTGTAATGTAGATGGTGGAAGTAGATAAGCCGCCTTTTGTTATGCTGCCGGGTAAATAAGTAACGCATAGAGTTCAAACTGAAATGTAAAGGGTAAAAAAACGTGTGGTAATGTGGGGTAACAGACTGGGAGTATGGATATGTTTATAAAATTAAATCTAAACTAGCTGTCTAGCAGTAAACTGCATGCAGCTAAAGTTTAACTTGGTTAATTACATCATTCCACTAATTGCTCAATTGGAATCCATCATCTCGGTTGAAGTTATGTCTATGTTTGTATATCTGTATGGCTTCATGGATGCACAAGCTAAGCTAAAGAAGACCAAAAAAACAGCGTGTGGTAATGGTGACGGAAGTGTGTAAAGCTGGGGGTAACAGGCTGGGAATATGGATATGTTTATGACAATTAAATCTAAACTGTCTGTCTAGCAGTAAACTGCACGGCAGCTAACGTTTAACTTGGTTAATTACATCCTTCCAATGATTGCTCAATCTGAATCCATCATCTCGGTTGAAGTCATGTCTATGTTTGTATATCTGTATGGCTTCATGGACAAATCTTTGGTAGTAACCTGGAGGTTTACAGAGCAACTTGGTATCGGAGAACACAATGTCATGAGAGCCAGCAGTATTACAACAGTGGTCAGCTACGGCCAAAGAATTCGTTCTGCCATGTTTCAAATCCGACTTGTGCTCGCGAATGCGATCAGAAATGTCGTTTCGTTTCCCCAATATAACAAGCCCCACAAGTACAACTCAGTTTGTAGACACCAGGGTAGTGTAAGTCAGGAATGGCATCCTGATGGGATCAGATCACGGATCTTGTGTACTGTACTGAATCGGACCTGGGTCTTGTGTTTGTTTAGAATTTTGGAAATCGTTTTGGTCACGCCTGCTATGTATGGCAACGTAATGGTCTTGATCGGAGTCTCCGGGGGTTGTTTCTCCACGGTGGGAGAAACAGCCTGGCGGATAGCACGGTCCGAGTATCCGTTCATCTTGAGGGCACGATGTACATGTTCCAATTTACTGGCCAGTTGGTGTTGGTCAGAGATGCAGTGGGCCATATGATATAGTGTTTTGATGAGGGAATTCTTTTGTGCCAGATGGTGGTGGGAATCAGGTTTCAGGTAGGAATCTGTGTGGGTGGCCTTCCTGTAGACAGAATGTCCCAAAGAGCTATTGGGTTTCCTCTCAAACAAACATCCAGGAATGGTAGCTTACCATCCATCTCCACTTTCATGGTGAATTTGATGGATGGGTGCATGGAGTTGATGTGATATAGAAATTGGTTCAATGCTGGGAGGCCATGTGGATAAATGACGTAAGTACCATCCATGTATCTCTTCCACAGGGAAGGACACAGAGTGGATGTCTGGATGGCATCTGTTTCAAATTTCTCCATGAAAACATTGGCTATCACTGGTGACAAGGGGGAACCCATAGGGGTGCCCTCATTTTACTTGTAGAAGGTACCATTCCAAGTGAAGTAAGTGTTGGTGAGGCAGTGCCTAACCAGTGCAGGGACATCAGGGTTCAGTCCATGTTGGACTAAGTCTTCAATTATTGCTATGGTGTCAGGCACTGGAACCTTGGTGAACAGAGAGACCACATCAAAACTGACGAGGACATCATCAGGGGATGTTCCATTAGGGGGGCCCACGTTTCGGAAGCGCAGAGAAGGGAGGGAATGACCGTGGCCGAGAAGACCTGAAGCTTAGTGCGGAGCGACATACCAGGTAGCTTCCATACAGCGTTACGTAACCGATGAAAAGATATTGCCGCTCGACTGATTTGGAGTGAGACCTCTGCTGTTAAACTGGAGCCGGTCATAAGCACACTGCCCAGGTATGGGAAACTCTCCACTCTCTCCACAACTGCCCCATCACCAATTGGGAGTTGTGGGGGTGGAGTGTCCGATGGTACAAAATACCCAGGCAGGTGCTTAGTTTTGGTGGGGCTGATGGTAAGGCCCCATCTCTTAGTGGTACGCTCCAATCTCAGCAGCAGCGTCTCCAACTCCTCCTCTGAATGAGCAGCTATTACCAAATCATCGGCATACATAACGTGGTTGAGCAATAGGGAGCCATCCTTGACCGCACCCGGGCATCGATCAGCCTCCCATTACTGTATATCTGTATATACAGTAATGGGAGGCGACAGGGAGGACATCCCTGTCGCACCCCAAGGTGTACAGGGAATGGCTCTGACTCCCGGCCACGTAGTTTTATCTGGGCCCGCTCACCATCATGAAGGTCCTTAATGATCGTGACCAGAGGGTCAGGAACTCCAAAAGCACGAAGAACAACCCAGAGCCTAGGCCTACTGATGGTATCATAGGCCTTGACCAGGTCAATAAAGCAGAGATGTAGGTCTTGTTGGAATTCCCTACACCTCTGCTGTAGCAGACGGACAGAAAATATGGCATGTATATATAGGCCTTTTTCCATTTTTGATATTAAGAATGATTTTGACAATTTTTTTTTATCAATCGTGGTGTCACTTGGGGCAAAATGGGGTGATGCAAAGCCCCTCCCCTCACACACAACCAGACAACCGGAGGTAAGCCATAAAAGGTAATAAAACCCAAAACAAAGAGGAAAAGGGGGGGGGGATTACTAATGAGGCTCGGGGGGAAATCTACATGACTTCAAAGGCCCCCTTTTTAAGAGCACAGACAACCAGGCACCACGAGCACAGGCGAATTCTTAAATAATTTTCCCTTTCGTTGCTCTTAATACAATGGTTAAAGTTCAGAACTTAGCGACAAATGAGTCGACATCATAAACTGTCAACACACTCACTACGATAAAAAACACACCAGACTATAATCTACCTAGTGGGTTACCACTTCTCATACATATCATATTAATACTAACGTTATTCACGTTAAATTATATTACATCTTTTATTCTTTGGTTCTTTCGGTAAAGTCACGTATAAATAGAAAATAATAAATTACATATCATACGACGTTTCAATTGCAAAGCAAGCAAGCATCATCAGGTACAAACCTAGTAAACTTAGTAATATAATGCAACACAGCGCAGAAAGTCAGCTGACACAAGTCAACACCCTACCTGGTTGATTACATCCAAGAGAGAGACAAGACACAGAACCGGAGACACATACACAGACACACAAGCGGAAAGAGTTAACAATGGGAGATCCCGCAATGAGAGATCCACCAATGCGGGATCTCCCATTGACATGCTAATTTTTCTAACCCCCCCTCTCTTTCTGTACCCCCTCTCTAGCTATTTAAGGCCTCGACACAGAGACGTTGTTTCTCTGTGTGCCCATGCGTGTGTCTCTCTCTCTGTGTCTCTGTGTTATATCTGTCAGCCAAGGTCTCTGGGGAGGTCTTGACTGCGTACCCAAAGCAGCCATTGCAGCTGCATGAATCACAGTCCTAAACCTCGCCCATTTACCCTCGACATCAGGAGTGGTGGACGATGCCAACCCCAGTCGCAAGCGATGATGAAATTCTCGCTTGCAACTTTCATCAGCACACAATGTACATACACACAGTATACACACACATACACACGCAGTGTACCCGCACAGTGTACACATAAACACACATTGACAAGAACAACAACCGTCATTCGCCACTAAGGGTGCCGTCCATAAATGACGTCACTAGTGGGGGGGTTAGACATTTGTGACGTCACGTAAAAATGCGCAATTAAATAGACTTTTTAATAAATGTTTTCTCCTACAACATCAGAGTGCAGCGCCACATTAAACACGCACTACAATGACAATAGTTTAAAGCGACTTGAAGCATTTGGGTGGGGGGGGGGGGGCAGAGCTTTGTGACGTCATATTTCAGGGGGGTCTGACTTTTTGTGATGCCGTGTGACGAAGGGGGGGGTTGTCAAAAATCGTCTAAAATCGCGTGACGTCATTTATGGACGACCCCTAAGTGGCGGTGATGTCACCACGACGCTTGTGCCAGGCTATGTGCACGTTAAGGCCACGTGAAGTGTCGAACGCCCGCCGGCAGGAGTTCACGGGGCAGACCCAGCAGGTGCCATGGGTCGACTGACTGAGACGACTGGCCGATGCACCACCTGTGCCACCTACTGTGCCAACAGTGTACATAGACACACACAGTGGAGACACAGCTTGTTCACACACAGTTTGTACACACAGTACACACTGTGTACACACTCACAGTGTACACACACAGTTTGTACAAACAGTTTGTGTACACAGCACACACTGTGTACACACACTGTATAAACACAATGATGTTCACGTTGTTGTTGTTGTTGAGCTCACGCACTCAAGGGGTCTCTGTTCAAGAGATGGAGCAATGGGAAAGGAATCTAAATAAACTTAAACTCGAACCCCGCTCTCTCTCGCTCTATGACGTCACCACTGTGCATTACCTCATCAGCGTGAGACGCCTGGGGGAGGTGAACCTGGTAGTGACGTCATGTCACCAAGGTATTCACTCCCCAACCCCCCCGACACCGCGATTTTGAGCGTGACGTCACGTCTACTTGGTCACTGTCGATTTCCGTTCCAGTAAAAATCCTTATTTGGGCAAAGCTACGCCCAGTCACTGGTGATTCATTAACATAATATATTCATTAATACCGTCGCGAGTTCATTAAGACTGGTTCAGCAGCCAAGCCCCATCACCCGACATGGTCCGGGCTCATTAACATAATTTATTAAGTTACACCGCTGCTCGTTGGGGGAGGGATTATGTTGAACACCGCAAGGACGTCATGTCACCTCCTGCTGCCGCGTGACGTCACGATATACCAGGAAGATGCTGCTCTGCGCTCGCGCTCGCTGAGATCCGAGGTGAGAAGTTCACATCGTGGTGGTTGTTGTGGTGGTTGTTGTTGTTGTTTACCCAGGTAGAGCCTCGCTCCGTCTCTCTCTCGTAGACACATCAATTGAGTAGCAGCGAGTATGGAATCGATGTCCAGGTTGGAACATTACAACGCGGGGCCTAGCCATGCGGGGCCTTGCCTCCTGCCCTCGCCTGATTGCATTTGCTTTAATTTTCTGCTTAAGTTTAATTTGTCTTCACCTGGCTCGCTACTTTGAAACTTTTTTTATTTTAAATATTTCTACAGTTTTTTTAATCTCACCAGGCCAAGCCCACTTGAGCTACTATACCGCTTTTTCAGAAGCGACCTGCCCACAACAAAGTGTCTTATCAACGTGTGGAAATGTTTGCCGGTCAAATACTCTAAACGCGTGGTGATGTTGACTCTAAATGTGGAGGGGAAAACCGGAGGATCCGGAGGAAAATCCACGCGACCACGGGGAGAGAGACACGCAAACTCTTAATATAATCCGTAATACAGGTTTGTTTGGGTTAGATTGCGTAAATATATAAATGTGTCGTGAAACCCGCCACCACCCGGACACAGCCAACTAGTAAGGGTTTGTCACGTTAACAGAGCGTGGCCAATTCGTCACGAGTACAGCACACCAGTTGTGTGTTGGAGAGCCAAGCCACAACATTTACAATCTTGAGTACGACGTTTCGCCAGTAATTACAACCAGCTTCATCATGCGACAGCCAAATGTGGCTTGGCTCTGGGGGACAATAAACCAGGTCGCTGGGTGTATGGCGCAGCACACGAACATTTGCACTACCGCTCCCCACTCGTGCACAAACATGATCATCGGAAGTATAGTTTTTATTCAGTGATAACTAAGTTACCCGGGTTCGCGTAGGTCTCAGTAATCGAACATTAAGAGTAATGCCTTGCAATGCTGGCTTTATTGGAGTTATTGAATTCTGCCAGTGAAGTCTGTAAATGTGTGTATATTGTCACGGTTTTTTGTTTGTGTTATACAATCGCAACGCTTTGTTTCATAATGAGGGCAGCTTTTAAATTCGTTACCCTTGGAGAGCTTCAGGATAAACAATGTTGGATGTTTTGCCATCTGGTGGATTTAATCAAATGAAGCTTTAATTTTGGCATACATGTTGACAGCAAATTGGTGGAAGAGCTCTTTGCATCTCAAAGAGATTGAAGCTGCCGTTTCGCACTATGATCCTGAAGGCAAAACAAGTCCATGGCGGAAATCCTTTGTTGGCAAGCCTGTTGCTGGGTCAGTTTGGCGAACTAGGAAATTGTAGCCATCTTCACCTTGCCAGAAAATCAGTAGACATTGAAGAGCCTCATAGGATCGGTGTGTTTCATTTCTGTGTAGGATTATATTCCTCAATTGCAAGACGATGCCTCGAGTGACATGTTGTTCAGCAGTCAGAATGACAGCTACTTCAGATGTGAGTGCATTTAAGCGGCACTCATGTTGACCATGTGGAGTTTAGTCGGCATGAATGACAACATTGTACTCTGTAGTCATCTTCTCCATGGCACACTTGAAACTTTGAACATAAGAGTTTACCTTATGGAGCATGTCTTGCCGCAGCAATAGGACTTGCATCTTGGTGTTGATGACATTTTTGCAATGCTGGTGAGCCTGTCTAGTATTGTCAAACATGCAAATAGATCTGTGGTAATGTAGGTAGGTCATTAGGTAGTGGCAGCAGACTGCCAATGCGATTGTGTACCTGGCCCTGCACTTGTGATGTGGACATTTAGCCAGATGTCGGGATGAGTTGGTTGGTGCCAAAACATGTCATTTTGAAGCATGAGTTCTATCTCCTATTGTGTGTTTTGGAATTGGTGGCTTGCATTGGTATTGTTGGCAGGTATCAATACATTAATAGGCTCGGGATGGTCATTGTAGGCAGCTGAACCATGGTACAGTTCAATCTTGACTTAAAGCTTTCGTGACTGCAGGAATTAATATTCTTTGGGATGTGATCCCTGACATGCAATACCCCGACGTCTTCAAACTAAGCTGTGTCTGTGACAGTAGTTACAATGGGGAAACTAAGCGACATGTCTCGGACCGTTTTCTTGAACATGAAGCAGATCTGGAACACGGTCGGACCAATACTTTGGCTGTGGCTGATCATTCTTTTTAATGCGGTAGGCTCATGCGAAATTGATTTCTCTAAGACAAAGGTACTTTGCAAACCCACTGGCTATCAACAAAGATTCGTTCATGAAGCCATCCATATATACAGACACAGACACAATTTCAACCGAGAAGATGGGTACAAACTTAACAATCATTGGAAGGACGTTATCAACCAGTTTAAGTCATAACTGGCTGTGATGTTCCAATCCTACCACCTTCCGATGTTAGCTGCTATTTTCGTCTCTCCGATTTTACATTAACAGGTTAAATTTCTCACACTAACACAGCCACCACGCGCCAACCTAGACTTGGCGGCGGCTCTGCGATCTTTCATTAACATGCTAATCTCTCACCTTAACATAGCCACCTCAGCGCGCTCGCCGTGGAGGCCGTTCACCGATCTTACATTAACATGCTGCATTGGCATTGCTGCTGCATTGGCATTGCTGCTGAATTGGAATTGCTGCTGCATTGGCATTGCTGCACTGCCCTTGCTGCTGATGCTGCTGATACACTTGGGCTACGCCCATCTCCAAACCTTTATAAACAGTTTGCCTGATGACGACTGCTTGTGTTGCGATGGAAATGCGTAGTTTTTTGTTATTTTCTTTGAACCTATCTATGTGACTTTACCGAAAGACCCAAAGAACATGGTACAGTTGCAGCATAGGCTTGGAGTAAGGAGTCGGAAGTGGATTAATTTGGCGGCAAAAACGCAGGCCTGATAATAGGTAAGGATAACATTTTAAGTATGAGAACAAATAGTGCAGTGGAGACACTTATGTTATGGTGAGTGCGTGGAATTGTAGTATATGAAATGTCATAATGTGTTTGCATGTGGCAAACCGGAAGTAGTGAGAATGCTCTGGGCTTTAATACATGGCAAGAGAAAGAGAGGGGGGAAGTGAGGAGCGGGGAGGGGTACACATTAACTCACCCGTGAGTACGCATGGAAAGTTTGGGGTGTGTTGGCGCAATTTAGTTCACCAAAAAATCTATGCAAGCGCAAAGTCTGCTTTATCTTTAGAGATTTATAATTGAAGTTTACCTAATGCCATTACTTAGTTAAGGCTTAAGTAGTGAATATCACTCTTTTAGCTTTCGCGTGGCAATTTCCAAGAACGTAACCTCCGCGAAATGCAAGGGGCTGCTGTATTTTCTCTCTATTGACTACAGCAGAGGCGTACGGATTTTTTTTACAGAAACTAGATCTCTGCATTCTTGATTTAAGTAAGGCCTATAGTATCATAAAGCGGCTTGGGGCTTCGGGTTGTTATTTGTTTTCAAATCTATGCCTTTGCTCACATTATTTGAGGATTTGTATGATTTTGGGCAGGACGGTCCAAAGCTGCGTGACCAGGAGTCGGAGCCATTTCCTATTCAACTTGGCTTGTGACGGAAATTAACTCTGGCCCCATGCATTACATTACATAGCATCTTCAATAACTGTGTAGTTTGAGAAGCTCCCAGTGGTCATATAAAAACCATTGCATTCGTTACGGTTACAATGATACGCTAATTGATGCCTGGTTATAGATGATCTGGTAATGGATACTCAATGAGATGGAATTAGGGAATCTTGTTCTGTGGCTTGATAACTCCATCCTGAAATGGGGCCTTTCAAATGTTCCACAAAGATAAATCACCTGCCTGGGAATTTCATGTCATATAACACTGCACCTGCTCAACTCTCCATTAATTTTCAGGCAGTTCTACAAGTGGTGGAGGAGATCCCATACCTGGTTGTGTTCACAACCAGCTCTGGTTTGGCAGCCAAAGTCTCACTTAAAATTAGTCGAGCAGCATTCTTTCATTAGATTGTGTAACACTGTGTGGAAGGTGCCTGGACTTTTGCTCCATACAAAGCTGTGAGTGTCCATCGCCAAGGTCTAGTCTGCCTGAGACCATCCCTCTTCCTGCCATACTGGCATTCCACCCACCCCTGGCCCTTCATCCTGCGGATGTTTGGTGCACAGGATGGCACCACGTAGCCATTTCGAGCTGGCCCGACTTGGTTGCATGGTCACGCAGCCATGAGTCGCTTGTTGGCGAACACAACCCCTGGACCTGGCTCTAGTGGTGATATAAATATAGAACATATGTAAGGATGCCCCCCAATAGACTCCTCCTGGAACTCTACCAGACACCTTCTTTGGTTCTTTCGGTAAAGTCACGTAGAATGAGAATAAAATAATAAAATAAAACAATAAAATTCTCACAACGTTTCGGCCACAACACAAGTGGCCTTCAGGTGAAAGGAACAACCTGTCGGGACGACAGAGCTACAATGAACGCTGCTAAGATTCGCATCGTCTTTTAAGCTGGCTGAGAGAAGTGAGGCACCTTGACAAAGTGGTTTACATATCAAACAGGAGAATTTAGCATTGAAACAGTTGAGGGATTAGCTTGTGACTGGTCACAGAAATAGCTATGTTAAAGTCAAAGCCTACACATCCACAGAGGCACCTAGTGCATGGACGCCAAAGGGGCTGCAACAACTCAACTATCATACAGTAAACCGATGTGAAAAAAAACCTAAGTCTAAATTACATCAATATAATAAATGTAAATTTTGATTTAAAGCTTTCGTGACTGCAGTAATTCATATTCTTAGCTCTTTCGGTAAAGTCACGTTGAAGGGAAACAATAAAATATATATAAAACAATAAAAATTCTCACGACGTTTCGACCATAACACAAACGGTCGTCATCAGGTGTGAAAAAAAGCCAACGGCAAGAAACATTTGAAAGAAGTGTCGGTCCGCATTTATTTATTTATTTTTAACGGTGTGTTTATAAAAAACGTCAGCGCCACGCGCAGAGATTTCGCAGTTTATTTAGAAGGACGAGTCCATCTATGTTCTGAAAAGAGGAGGGGGGAGACGAAAAATTAATGTATGCTGTCTGAAAGCCACCGTAAGCATGAACAATCAATTAAGACCTGAAATGGTTTATCAAATCCTTCCAATGATTGCTAAGCCAGAATCCATCTTCTCGGTTGAAATTGTCTCTGTGCTTGTATATGTGGATAGCGTCATGAACGAATCTCTCATGGTAGCCAGATGGCTTACAAAGAACCTCTGTCTTGGATAAGTCAATGTCATGTGAGCCTACTGAATTATAACAATGATCTGCCACGGCCGAGGTGTTGGTCCTACCGTGTTTAAGGTCTGCTTTGTGTTCATGAATGTGGTCCGAGACATGGCGTTTGGTTTTTCTCCAATGTAATTACTACCACAGAGACAACTTAGTTTGTAGACACCAGGGTGCTGTATGTCCGGAATCACATCTTTTACAGATGGAACCAGATCACGGATTTTATGTAATGTGTTGAAACGGACCTGGATCTTGTGTTTATTCAAGATTTTGGAGATCTTTTTTGTGATCCCCGCAATGTAGGGTAAAGTGATGGTTTTGAAAGGCTCCTCAAGAGGGTCCTTCTTCATGGTTTGAGTGATAGCTTTGCGGATTGTATAGTCGGAGTAACCATTAGCCTTAAGAGCTTGGTGTACGTGCTTGAGTTCACTACCTATGTGTTCCTGGTCGGATATGCATTGGCCTCTATGATACAGAGTCTTGATGAGAGAATTTTTCTGTGATGGATGGTGGTGGGAATCCGGTTTCAGATAAGCATCCGTATGGGTAGCTTTCCTGTAGACAGAGTGGCTTATTGAACCATCAGGTCTCTTTTTTATTAGGACATCCAAACAAGGTAGCTTGCCATCTTTTCGACTTCCATGGTAAATCTGATGGCTGGGTGTATGGAATTGAAGAATTGGTCTAGAGCAGGCCGGCCATGTGGCCAGATGACAAAAGTGTCATCCACGTACCTCTTCCATAAGGTTGGGCGCAGAGTGGCAGTCTGGATGGCGTCAGTCTCAAATTTCTCCATGAAAATGTTAGCTATAACCGGAGATAGGGGGGAGCCCATTGGGGTGCCCTCAGTTTGTTTGTAGAAAGTTCCATTCCATATATTCTTCAATAAGCAGAGCTATTAACAGCAACTGGGTATACACTACACTATATAATGAATACCATATAGTAAACAGATAAAAAACTAAAATATAAACTACCTCAATGTTATCAATAAACTCTATATATTCTCCAATCAGCTGAGCTACTAACAATAAGTCGTTATATATCACGATGCTATATGGCAAAAAAAAGGGTGAATTCTTACCCTCCACATCAGCACCACGGACCACTACGAGCCCCGTTCAGACGGACGAGTCCATCATGGTCGGAACAGAGGAGAGAAACAGCTGCGAGGCGATGTTATAATCATGTTATAAACCATACCATTAACCGTGGTGTGAGAAGTATTAAGAGTCAATGCCAGCGAAAGAGCTGCGGTCTAAAGGTCACCATAAAATAATTAATTAAAAACCGAAAAGGTTTAAAACATCTTACCAATGGTTACTAAGCCAGAATCCATCTTCTCAGTTGAAATTGTCTCTGTGCTTGTATATGTGGATAGGCTCATGAACGAATCTCTCATGGTAGCCGGTTGGCTTGCAAAGAACCTCCGTCTTGGAGAAGTCAATGTCACGTGAACCCACTGAATTATAACAGTGATCTGCCACGGCGGAGGAGTTCGTTCTACCGTGTTTCAAGTCTGCTTTATGTTCGCGGATGCGGTCCGAGATATGTCGTTTGGTTTCTCCAATGCAGCTACTACCACAGAGGCACTTTAGTTTGTAAACGCCCGGGTACTGTATGTCTGGAACAGCATCTTTTACAGATGGAACCAGATCACGGATTTTATGTACTGTGTTGAATCGGACCTGGATCTTGTGTTTATTTAGGATTTTGGAGATCTTTTTAGTGACCCCTGCAATGTAGGGTAAGGTGATGGTTTTGAGTGGCTCCACAAGAGGATCCTTCTTCATGACTGAAGTGATGGCTTTGGCTTTGCGGATTGTGTAGTCGGAGTAACCATTAGCCCTGAGAGCCTGGTGTACGTGTTTGCGTTCACTGGTAATGTGTTCCTGGTCAGAAATGCATTGGGCTCTATGGTATAGAGTCTTGATGAGGGAGTTCTTCTAACCAAATCTACCAGACACGTCCCACTGAGCTAAGACCCCAGGGCTGGCCCAGGACATGCTGGTGGGACTGTCACTCGGCTGGCCATGGAACGCTTTGGAATTCCCCAGGTTGAGCTAGAGTCTGTCGCCAGGGAAAGAGAGGCCTGAACTGCCCTACTCGGTGTACTGCCACCACGACCATCACCAGGACAAGCGTTTTTAGAAACGAACGAACAAAGCTGTGATTCTTCTTGGCCACAGATATTACTCTGTGGATGCAAAATATGAACTTATTTAATTGACCATCTCTGCTTGCATATACAATTAAAGCTCGTCTGCCTGTGATTCATCCTTAATGCAACCAGACTATTTTGTATTAAGCTTATAGATCCTTAATATATCAATATGGAATATAATCATGAGTCTCTTTGACAGACGAGGCTGCATTGGTTCGGTCATGAATCCCGCAATCCCAGTTACCGCATGCTCAAGCAGCTTCTGTTAGTCCAGATATTAGGGGCTAAACAGGCATGACATTGGCTAGAGAAAAGATTGGAGGATGTGGAGGTGGTCGGAACTGCCAATGACTGGTATCAGTAGTGTCAATATTGGCCTCTGTGGGGGAGGCCCGTGAGGTATGCTGCAGGGCAGTTAAGATATATTTGCTGCAACAACGATAAGGTCGGAGGACTGCCAATCACATGAATGGGTGGAACTGTGGATTCCTAAAACCCAGCAAGACAGAGCGGAGCATAGCTGGTTCATCTGTCGGTCATCCCTTGACACCTGGATAATTCCCATTATCTCCTGACAAGGAATCCATACTTACATGGCCTTAAATGACACCTATCATGGCATTAGCACTGTGATAAGGTTACTTACAATTCGTTATGAATGGTGGATGTTTTGTTTATATAATATGTTAATGATCCATGTGATATGTATGTGTATTTAAGAGTTTATCTTTGTGGGGAGCAATTGCGCAGTTATTTGACTGCATTATGGACTCAACAATTATTTAGATTATCTTCGACAGCAAACATGATTGATTTCACTGTCTAACAAAAATAAATTGTCCCTGGGTAGTAAGTGTTCTTTTCTAATTGCTTATGCCTCAAAGGTACAGAATATGGCTATCATTCCCCACAAACTTTGTTTTTTTGTGACCAGGAGAGTGATATTTTGCAATTTACCTATTTACAATGAGAAAACATGTGCATTTGTATCATTCCTTCACGTAAAGTCCTGGTCACAAAAACAAAGTTTTTGGGGAATAATAGCCATTTTCTATACTTTTTAGGCATAACCAATTAAAAAATAACACTTGCTACCCAAGGACAAAAATCGTGTTACATAGTGTAAGTGAAAGCTGAACTTATTGTGGGCCTCTGCTATGTTTATTGATCTTAAATTAATTACATGGTGAAGTGAGGAAGCATTAATACTGAGCAGATGAAGGCGGCCAGGCATAGTTTTGGACACACCACCACCTTTTTCCATGCCAATGTGTGACATTGTCAAGTTTGTATTTCCAGTCATGTATATTAACTATTGAACATGGAGGTTCATCCGAGCATTTAAGCAAATCTGAGCCTGGCTTCACACCTCGAAATTTTGATTGAACATTAATTTATGCGTTTCTGCATAATACGAATAGTATTATTTTCAACACCCTTTGCTATGTTAGCTGAATTTTTCTTAAATAATTATTACTTTCGTAGCTAGACAGCCGAAATTGTGAGACTGGAGTTTTGTGTAAACATTCATTTTTAAGATACTAGGGCATCCAGGCATATTTATGACCATTTGCCCTTTCATTGTGTGCCTTAACAGCCCATGTTATGAATTGGGGAATCCTTTTCACTATATCATGAATATATTAATAAGTATAAACGTGTAAGTCATGTGTGACTGTGTATATATTCATTCCTCTGCCTCGATACTGACGTAGATGGTGTGGATATGTTTTTCTGTCTGCAGCTCACGCTTGCTCTGACGCTTCTACTGCAGAATTGATCTGATGGAGCAAAGGCACTCAGCACAGCTCTGTAGAAGGAAACAATGCGACCAGTATGCAAACAGCATGGATCGTACTGGAAATTTGACACAGCACCAGAGAACACACACAGGAGAGAAACCCTTCAAGTGCAGTGTGTGCGGGAATGCGTTTGCAAAGTCATCATATCTTCAGAGCCACCAGAGAACGCACACAGGAGAGAAACCCTTCAAGTGCGGTGTGTGCGGGAATGCGTTTGCACAGTCATCATATCTTCAGAGCCACCAGAGAACACACACGGGAGAGAAACCATTCAGGTGCCCTCTGTGTGGGAAGGCATTTGCACAGTCAAAAGATCTTCAGAGCCACAAGAGAACACACACGGGAGAGAAACCCTTCAAATGCAGTGTGTGTGAGAAAGCATTTTCACAGTCATCAAATCTTAGAAAACACCAGAAAACACACTCAGGAGAGAAACCTTTCAAGTGCACTGTGTGTGAGAAGGCATTTACAGATTCATCAGTTCTCAAAAAACACCAGAGAACGCACACAGGAGAGAAACCCTTCAAGTGCAGTGTGTGTGGGAAGGCATTTTCAAGTTCATTTTATATTAAAATACACCAGAGAACACACACGGGGGAGAAACCCTTCAGGTGCACTCTGTGCGGGAAGGCCTTTGCACAGTCATCACATCTTCAAAAGCACCAGAGAACACACAGGCATCAGAAGATCCCCAAGGAGTGTAGTCTGAAATCGACTTGTGAAAGTCAAGGTGCTGCAATGAGCCAATCTCTCCTGAAACAAGAACCAGAAGAAAATCCCAGCTTGTACACTTTAAAAGGTATCAAGGTGAAATATGAAGCGGCAAAGGTGAAATGTGAAGAGGCGACATTGAAGAGCGAAGAAGTGAAGGTAAAATGTGAATATGAAGATTCAACTCCAAAATCAGACCTTCACGTCGATGGAGGCAATGTGAAGCAGGAGGAGAATTCTGACTCTGATGCAGAGCGAGGCAACTCCCAGCAGTTTGTAGAAGTGGAGGTGTGGGTGGACTTCCTAGACAATACAAAGTCATAAGGAGACCCTGTAGATGTTTAAGTTTGAGACAATGAAGCTCCAATAGATTCACCTTTGTCACGGGCCTTTAATGATAATAACGTGAAGTTGAACACTCAATTCCTAGGATCAACTTGCAGAGTAAGAGCGGACAGTATTTGCGGACCTATGGGTTGGGTAGATCTCTAACCAGGAGCGAGAGCCAATAAGCTCCCAAGCATTCACTGTTATAATATTAGCATTCACATGGTGCTTGTGGAGTGTTATATAAGGACGAATAAAATTATTTGTGAGTATTTTATTTTATGTTTTATTATTTTATTATTTCCCTTCTACGTGACTTTACCGAAAGAACCAAGAAGATGAAGCACACACTGTTTATTGTCTTTCTTCAACACAGTCAGTCCCTAACTCCGGACTCGACGGGACCTACACTGACGAGTTCCTGCTAACCTAAGCGTCCTCCAGCTGGGACCTAGGGGAGGCTAGCTGACCCACCGCTGGCTCGGTGGGTCCCCGACCACAGGTCACACTGAGCCTTAGCCCTCAGAAGGACTGGAAGGCTGGGACCCAGAGTCCTGCCTATCCAGGACCTATGCTGACCCACCGCTAGCTCGGTGAGTCCCCCGACTACTGGTTACACTGAGCCTCAGTCCTTAAAAGGACTGGAAGGCTTGGTCCAGGGTCCTATCTCTCTTCAGCCCGGTCTTCGTGTGGGGAGAACTGAGCTTGCGCTCCCAACGCTCGCGCTTTTATACTGTTTTGGGGCTGGCTCTGCCCAATCCCACGCTCCCTCGTGGAACCTTCCTGATTAGTCCTTCCCAATCTATCGTTTGGATCCGTTTCCCCTTATCTGACCCCTGGCCGTTTGCTTGGCGGGGAATCTGTGAGTAGCTATCACCTCTACACTTGCTTAATTGCCTCAGCAACTCGGAGTTTTGTATCAAATCTCATCACAAACACTCGAAGAGCATGTTGTATATATGCCTTTTCCAAAATTTAATATTAAGAGTGATTCTGCCCTTTTTTTTTGTAATTATTTTGATCGAGATGTCGTGCTGGGGCACGGAAAGGGTGAGTCCCCCCCCTGCTCCCTACCTTGCCTCACAAGCCTGCTTGGGAAGTCAAAATGTAATAAAATAAACTGGCAAACCCAAGTGGGGGCTAATGAGATTCTGCGGGAAATCCCCAGTTGACTTCAAAAGAAGGCTGCCATAAAGGAAACAACCCACAAAGCAAAACATAAGACGGAAACAGCAGGGGTTACAAACGTCCCTGGACAGCGAAATCCACCCAAGGGCAGTAAATCATGAGCTGACTGGGATTTTTAAAATACAACAGTAAAGTTGGAAGCTTAGCTTTATCTTCAACCTCATGACATCAAAATCTAAATTGAGAATAAGAAGCACGGATCCCTGGCGATACAGACGGGGAACAAAGGTAAATAAAACCCTCGGAATATCCTTGGTAACAACTATGGTAGTCCACAAATCTTGGTTAAGCATGAACCAAATAATTATGAAAGTATTAGACCCAGGATCATTCATAAGAGATACAATGCAAAATTTGTCACTCACACGACCAAGATAATGTATTCCACAGTAATCAGAGCCTCACCAACCGTCTTTGTTTTCCAGTAGCTAACAGCACATGGTAGCAGCAAATTATCTATGCAGGGGGCGCCTCCCCCTAACATATCAAATACCACGCAATAATTCTAAACCGCGACGTGGGTGCTGTGAACGCTGCTCAAAACGTATTTTGAGTCGCTTGCAGAGTCAAAACTGCGGAAAGTGGTACAGTACCAAGCTGTAAGAGGTGTAAACTTTTTTTTTAATTTCCAACACTTGATGAGAGGACAGAAAACATGGCGACAGCAAGCACACCCGTGCACAATAGGTCACGACTCCTGCTGCTGCATTAGACTCTCTAAATCACATTTACAATTGCATTGATAATAAGCAGTACTGCGCCAGTCTTTTTCTTGACTTCTCCAAAGCCTTTCATACAGTCGACCACAACACCCTGCTTAGTAAACTAAGTTGCCTCCGTTTCTCCAAACACGCAGTGGAATGGTAAAAAAAAAAAATCTCTTCTTTCACCCAAACTATATTCATCGATGGTTGAAGATCAAACAGGGTGAAAATAAAAGGGGATCCACAGGGTTCCATCCTCAGCCCCCTCTTGTTCTCTCTGTCATTCCAGGCTAAATCTGTTTGCAGATGACACGATACTGATTACTGCTGGCTGCTCTCCAGATGACGTGATTGCTAAGCTCCAGTGTGATTTCAACAAACTACATCAGCTAGTTGCTCTTAAACTAGTCCTGAATACCTCCAAAACCAAGGTACTACGCTTCTCACCAGGACTAAAGCAAAAAATTATTTTTCCTCAATTTTGATTTTAAGCTTTCGTGGCTGCTGGAATCCATACTCTTTGATTCTTTCGTTAAAGTCACGTAGACAGAAAAAGAAAACAAAATAAAAAATATCACGTTTCGATCGCAACACAAGCGGTCGTCCTCAGGCGGAAAAAATAATCCAGCAGTGGAACTGCTGAACCAGCGAGAAAGCTGTTACAACAACGTTATATATGTGGAATGCGATCGGTAATTACCTTGTCGCGGCATCTCTTCAGAAAGGTGAGCGACTCGATCAGGTGAGCCTTGTCTCGCAGTCTGTTAAAAGATCTAACAGATGTGTGGAAACCCTCCCCGTAAAGACGGTTCAATCTTGATTTGAAGCTTTCGTAAAAAGGTACCCTGGTGTCTACAAACTAAGTTGCCTCTGTGGTAGTAGTTACATTGGAGAAACCAAACGCCATGTCTCGGACCGCATTCGTGAACACAAAGCAGACCTTAAACACGGTAGGACCAACACCTCGGCCATAGCAGATCATTGTTCTAATTCAGTAGGCTCACATGCCATTGACTTTTCCAAGACAGAGGTTCTTTGTAAGCCATCTGGCTTCCATGAGAGATTCGTTCATGAGGCTATCCACATATACAAGCACAGAGACAATTTCAACCGAGAAGATGGATTCTATCTTAGCAATCATTGGAAAGATTTGATAAACCATTTCAGTTCTTAATTGATTGTTCACGCTTACAGTGGCTTTCAGACAGCATACATTATAAAAAATTTCGTCTCCCCCCTCCTCTTTTCAAAATATAGATGGACTAGTCCTGGGAAAACTGCCAAATCGCTGCGCGTGACGCTAACGTTTTTTTTATAAATAAATGCGCCGTTTAAAAATAAATGTATGCAAACCAACACACCTGAAGATGACCGTTTGAGTTATGGTCGAAACGTGAGAATTTTTATTGTTTTATATATATTATATTATTTTGTTGTTTCTCTTCAACGTGACTTTACCGAAAAAAACTAAGAATATAAGGGAATACCGATCGCATTCCACATATATAACCTTGTAACAGCTCTCTCGCTGGTTCAGTAGTTCCACTGCTGGATATTTTTTTCCGCCTGAGGACGACTGCTTGTGTTGCAATCGAAACGTCGTGATATATTATTTTAATTTTTTAAATTTTTCTACCTATGTGACTTTACCGAAAGAACCAAAGAGTATTTTTCCTCAATAACATTTCTTACATAATTATCAAATAGAGCAAGTCAAGATCTATAAGTATCTTGGGGTCATCTTTGATTCAAAACTTAATTTTCAAGATCACATTGATTATATTGGTAAAAAGACAATAAAATATTGGTTTTCTGTATCGACACAAGCATTGCTTCCCCACTGCTCCGTTTGGAATTGATAAAAGCACCTACTTCCCCTACTTGATTACTGTGACGTATAGAAATCAGCCCCAAATACTGTACTGAAGAAGCTTGACCCAATTTATCACTCTGCCTTAAGATTTGCATTGAACTGCCCATATAGGACCCACCACTGCGATCTCTACATTGGGTCAAACTTATCATCTCTTAATGATCGACGGCTTGTGCATCAGATCTTATTTTTTCACGATGTACTTACAAAAGAATCAGCAGACTACGTGCTGGATCTCCTCACTGTTTCAAAGAACAAATGTGACCTAAGGTCCTCACTCATTTACCAGCTTTACATTCCTTATTGCCGTATAAATACTGGAGGAAGGGCCTTTGCTGTTGATGCCCCCAGGGTCTGGAATGCTATCGCCAATAAACTGCAACTTGGATCACTACCTGTGAGATCTCCACTCAAAACTGCTCTTGAGGAGCTGTACACCCCCCGCTACCACTGCTATGCTGAGTGGCCTGAAATCAAATGCATCACTCCGGATGTCCGCTGCAAAGTATGACCTTGAGCTTTGATTATAGTTTGCTGACCTTTAAAGGTGCATTGAAAACTTTGGATACTCCTGCTGATACTCCTGCTGTTATGGAGTGACTCATGCTTCCAGCTATGGCTGCAAAGTTTGGTCGTACATGTTATGTATATAGTTTATTGTTAAATTTGAATCACAGTTCCTATTATCACTGTTAAATTGTTTTTATCGCTTTATTTTGGTGATTTCGAAAACGTATGGTTAAGCAATATTTCGATTTAAAGCTTTCGTGACTGCAAGGATTCATCTTCTTTGGTTCTTTCGGTAAAGTCACGTAGAATGAGAATAAAATAATAAATTGATCAAATAAAATAACACAATTATGAAGGCCGCT